GAAAAAATTATCACTTTAATGGATAATTTTGATGCAAACGAAGGCCAAACGAATATAAAATTTAAAAATTTTTCGGGTGAAAAATTATACCAATCAAACATATATAATTAACAATTCCCTGCAAAACAATTTCTAGTCAATTACTTTCCCTGGAATTCATTTTCTTTCCACCATTTTCCACCCTTCCTATCAAACGGACCCTTAAAGTTCTTTCACCCGTTTCTTTTATGTCAAAAGGGGAACAGATTTTAAAATTCTTATTGCCAAACCCACTACAGGCCACGAACAGTAACATGATGATTGCAAATTAATCATGGAAGTAAAAGCTATGGTGACGAGCTCGCTTGCATTGGTGTCAAGGGCCGTATCACAGCCTAGACCTTGACCGCACCCAGCTGCGGCCCAATATTAAAATCACAAATGGCCATCAGTTGCATGATGTGTAGTTGTGTATGTTTTTTTTTCAAAAATGTGTAAGATTTATAAGGACTTTTATGTTTCCTTGCCCTTTAGAAGTATGTTCATGTCAGTCAGCTATTCTTCTCCTGAGTTTACTAACAGGAGCACTGAGCATCGACAAAGTAGTTAGCAAGCTAGAGTTGCCGTCCTTGGAGTTGGCACTTGCAGCAGCATAATAATCTGCATTCTATTTATTTACAATAATCAATGAAATGAGTTTACTTCGAGACGTGCCTTCTGAAAGCGTTTTACTAGATTAGTACCTACATTAGCAATCAAACTCAATTCTAAGCAAAATTAAGTTTGGTGGAAGAAGCCTAACAGAGAAGTGCAAGTGGAGCCCTTTCTGAGCTTTTTGAGTCGCCCTGTGACTTTTGGTTATGGCACAAAAGTACATATACTTCTATTACTATAACAGCACAAAGATTGTAACAGAACCAATGAGGATTGTGTAATCAGCTTCACATCATCCACGACAACATTAAAAAGAAAAGGAAAAAAGAATTTACAGCTCCATCATATTCATGATAAATTTAAGTGTAAAAACGTGCAAAATAAGATCTACACCAAATAATTTGAATTTCAAACGTCACAGTAGACAAGTGTTCATTCAAATGGAACAAATGGAAAGGAGAACGGTATGTATCTGAAGCAACACTCCTTCAAGCAAAAAGAGATTCGAATGCATGCAACTACCACAAATAAGCAGACTCATTTAGGTTATCAAATGAAGCATAAACCTAGGAATACTAACCCTCCCCTAAGCTTATCATTTGCACAATAACTATGAGCTGTGAAAAGCAATAACTCAAACCTGGAGGAGGTCCTCCGCCAAAATGATTTGCAGCAAGGTGTGCCATGAGAAAACCAACTCAATATCCACTCAGTTCCAAAGCTATATACGATAATTTCTTTCAATCAATGAGCAAACCTTTATTCTGCTGAAAACAGGCAATGATAGCAGATAAACTCACCATCAATGGACAGAGATATCTATTAAGGAAAATAGACATGTAACTGAATAGCTTTTTATTCCCCAACTTAGCAAAGCACTAGAATACTCCTTAAGCTTTGCCTTTATGGACTGAAATGCAGCAAAGTTTGTCAGTATCCGCAATTTCTCTATGCACTGATCACCCAAAACGCGTGACCCTTCCACCGTTAGACAGAGCTTATCTTTTTATCCCCAAATTCTGGATACCTTTTCTGTGAAGTGAAATCAGTCAGATTTTTCATCACACTTACAAAATGAATTGAATACTAATTCAAAAAATAAAAAGACTATACATCATTAAAATCCAATCCCTGGACTAAAAGATTTATAAATAGTAATTTAACATTAGTAGATCCGAAAAGAAATTTTCCCTAAAAATTAAATACATCAACTTCATTTATTATATCATAAATAAACAGAAAAGATAAACTAGAGGTTCTGTATACATTAACGAAAAAAATTCCTTCCAGTCCGGCAATTTTTTTCATTATTTAATAAATAGATAAAAGTAAAATTTAAATACATACAATTTCTTTTTCAACCCAACAAAATAATATTTTTTAAACGAAATAAAAATAGAAAAACTAAAAATACAGCGAAATTCAAGCTTTATTCTTAAACCAGAGAAATCAGTCAAAATTTTACAGCTTACACATCAGAAGACTCTTAGATCAAATGCAATAACTGACACTATAAAAAGATCCAAAATATAAAGAAATCTAAAAAGCTTTAATGCGTTAGTTATGGCTCCACGAACCAAAGCCATAGGAAATTTAACGTTTTCCTTATACATCTCTACATATATATTTATTACAAACTATTTTAAGTATATATAGTTTTGCGGAGACAATTATTTGAACAAGAACGGATCAAATCTAAAATTATCAATTGGAAATTTAACACATACCAAAACAACAGCTGTTTCTACGCCACGAATTTGATTAGCAGCGCCGAAATCCTAGGGAAATCCGCCGTTTCCATATTTATCCCCAAAATTATCCCGAACCATCTCTTTCACTAAAAAGGCAGCTCAAAATCAAATTCCAACCTTAATTTTCTAAAAACATTTCAGCTAATAAAAATATACCAATAACAATTTCGGGGATTTATGAAGAATAAAAAGAATTCTAGAGAGAGAAATAGGAAGAAAGATGGGAGATGGATGGTCTTTGCCCGGTTGAAGCCGACAGTACTTTTCTACTCTCTCTCTCTCTCTAAAATTATATATTACGTATATTGTATGTATTTTCACCCATGTATTTATTTATTTAGGTCTTTTTATTTTAACTTCTTTTGGAAATGTTGGAGAGGAGTGGTGTAAACTGTGAAAGAGGAGAATTTGAAGCGAGGGGGGTGCGTATTGCGCACATGGTGTAAGAAAGTGAATAATGGGGAGGGACAGGGATGAAAAGCGTGCCCTGGAATGGGTACAGGTTTCCCGTCCGGTGTCCACGCGCAGAAAGCGAATATAAACTCAACGCTTGGGGAATTCAAATTTTTTTGCATTATTAATTGATATTTTGCTTTTCTTGATTAAGCATTTTAATTGTGAATTACTTGGATAAAGTTATTCAAACACGGCCAGTGACAATGGGGAAAAAACTGATGTATGTGTCAGCATTCGTTTGGATAAAAAAAAAATTTTAACTGTCGAATCATTGAATGACATATGGCCCACCTGTTTTTATACATGTCACTGACCCTGTTTTTGTAGCAAAACTCTAATTACTTAGCCTTTCTTTGAGTTATGCAGAAAAAAATGAATTCTAAAATAGTATTTCTTGAAGTTGTGTGGTTAAAAAATATTGAAAAAAATAAGAATTTACATATAAATTTATTATATTGAAAAATATAAAATTGAAAATGAATGTTGCTAGTTCCCATTTTTTTTTATAAATATATATAATGTTTTTTTTTTTTTTTTTTCAATCGTGGGAGGCCTGTAACTCACCTATAGTGTAGGAGGCCGGTCAAAAAAAGGGCCAAGGAGGGTCATCGACGATCTAATTTCTTTTGAAAATGAGAAATAAAATGACAAATCAATAGAATCTAAGTTTTGAAAAAATGAAATTTTAATAAAATGGGGCTCAAATAAGTACTTAATTTAATTATTGACATTGCATTTATGCATCATAGTGTAGCATATTTGTTGATTGCAATCTAGAAACGTTTTGTGAAAGAAACTTATTTGGACTAAAAATTTATAAATAAAAATCAGTAAAGACATAAACTTAATAATTATGTATGCTCTAGTTAAATAATTAATGACCGAACGGGTTAGAGTTAATAGATTTTTACTTAAAGTAGGAAAAAATGAAATGTAAATCACTAGCCATGAATGCTTTGATCAAGTAATGAACGAGAACTTGTCTAAAAATTTATAATTTATTTGTTTACAGTAAGAAACAATACATAATTTCCTTCTTTTTTTTCCCTTATAATTCATTTTTTACCACACATTTTCACAATAAAATTTTGTATTTAAATTAAAAAAAAAATTCTACTTTTTAATAACAATTTTTTTTAAAAAAAAACTTACTATTTCAAAATTCATTTTAATGACTGTCAGACAGGGGCTAAATAACTAGCTCGTCTTGAAGCTAATCACTTATTATTATTATTGTTATTGCTAGCAAATTTTGAATAATCACTTGTACCAACTACCGTGTAAATGGGTATATTGCTCTAGTACGAGGAAAAAGCTGAGTGTACACCATTGGTGTACGCTCTTGTACACAGCCTCCTCACAAGTTTGGGGTTCACGATTATTTTATTATCGTGGCCCCCACCTATGTTGTGAATGGGCTGTGAAACATAGTGTACACTAAGCACTTCTTCTAGTGCAATTCATACATACACTTGTCCGATGTTTAAAACGTGAAATTATTGTAAAAACAGTGACGAGACTCGAGCATGTCTTTTATATTGTGAATTAAAGCAAATATATGATTTTATTTTTTTTGTTCTTATTTCGCATAGAATTGTGAACACGTTGATTGACAAGCGTGTTGAATTTTTTTCTTTTCACATAGAAATCAAGTTTACTCTTTGTCAAAGATTTCGCACTTCAAATTTTAATGAACATATGACTGAAAAACGATTGAATTCATACCCATTTTGTATACTCTAAAATCGTATTTAAAAGTCAATTCTTTCTAGAGCCAAAAGTATTCTAATAGCAAGCATAGTTAGTAAAACTAAGATTTATTATTTGATAAAAAAAAAAAGTAATTATAAATCACTTTTAAGCAGTATGCTTTGTTGTAAAGCTATTATTGTTGTTATCGATTAAATTTCAAATTTAAATTTAAATTAATAATTAATTTTAATCGCATATATCATGGGTCTCACGACTTTTTAATCACATATTTCATCATGTTTTATTAAAATATATTAAAATTTTGATTTTAATCCGGCTTAACGTTGCAACTTTTCGTGTTAGTTACCAAAAAGAGTAATTCAAAGGTTGGTGGAGATGCCAACTAAAGTGGAATTTAACGTGTAAAACGTTTGTCTTTATGCTGGTACAAGTCAAGACGCATTAATGGTAAATTAGATGGTTGTTTCATTTGATATGAAAGTATGAAACTAGTCAATGTTGAAATTTATATGTGTATATTAATTAATTGATAATTAATAACGGAAAATTCATATATGATAATGATTTTGTAGTATTTATTATATATTGAAAAACGAAAAATAAGATATTATTAAAATAATTAAATTGTAGTATGATTAAAATAGTCTAAAAATGATTCTCACTTGATGTGATATTTAATATATTACTTCTATGATTCAATTTTTTTTTAAATGATGAAATATTATAAACGAACAACATTTTTATACTACATTTGGTATATAAAAATTAATTATTAATATATGAATTTAAACACTCATTAAACTCCTAAATACATGAATAGAAGAAAATTAATTTATAATAATTCTAAATTCATGTAGATCAATATATTGAGTTTGGATTAATATGAATGTTAATTAATTGATATTTAATAACACTAAATTCATACACGACAAGAATTTTGTAATATTTATTACATATTGAAAAACGAAAAAGTAAGGTATTATTAGTATGATTAAAATAGTCTAAAAATGATTTTCACTTGATGTGAATGTCAAATGTACATGTACATTAATGTAACTAATATTGAAAAACGAAAAAGTAAGATATTATTGAAATAATTGAAGTAAAGTTAAAATCGTCCAAAAAATGATTCTCACTTGATGTGATATTTAATATATTATAAATAGCATTGCTTAATCGTCAGCAGAGATAATTATTATTTGAATAATGTTATTTGTACATCACCATTTACATGTTGATGAGGTGGCAAAAAAGTGGGAAAGTTTAGGGGTTATTCTTTTTGTGTTTCAATTTTTTGTTTTGAGTTTTGAATTCATTTTGAGTTTTGTGTTTTAAGTGTCAATTTTGAGATTACTGAAAACGCTTTCTTTTTGTCATTTTGAAAAAAAATTTCAAAAATAAAAAAATTAAGTTCTGGCTTGGTTTTAACTGAAAAAGGCAAAAACTATTTTTTTGATGTTTTCCCCTTTTTTTAAAAAAAAAAAAAAATTTAAACTCGTTTTTTGGAAATTCGTTTATGAAAATAGGTAAGTAAACGTGTTTTCAGTGTTTTTGAAAATTGAAAACTGAAAATGATCGAAAAACAACAAAGATAACATGTCTTTAATTTTTTTAATTGGTTGGTGAAGTTTTAACTCAATCATATTATGTCATATCATCCGTTGACCAACAATTCCGTAATTTATGATGTACACATAGCACAATCATTATTGATTTATGTTATAAGCAAGGTGGCATAGAATAATAAGGTAAATTACGAGTATGAA